GCATCAGGAGCCGCAGAACCCGTGAAAAAGAAGTTTCCATGGTTCTCGAAGGATAAATAAAGAGTATATTATTGTTGAACATACATATGGGATAAGGATCACTGATTTGGGCACCTATTACATAGGTATTATTGTATTGCGATTTTGGTTCTAGTTCTGCTGGCTGAAAAAGCAAAGAAAGCATTGAGCGTTCGGCGTCCTGTATTTTGGGTTATTTGTTGTTGTTGTTGTTGTTGTTATTTTAAGGACATACCCCTTCCTTCTTAAGTGAAAGTCGAGCAGTGAATATGAAGTTTTGTTAGATTACGGGAGATGAGTGGAGTTTATATGGTTGTGAATGTATTGAAAGGTTGCTGACTTATGTGAAGACGTATGTTTCGATGGATATAGATGTGCATGTTATTCTTGTGGTGAAGACTGCGATGCTTGGGAGCTGCAGATGGGGTATCACGCAAGCGCGTGGATTGAGATTTTGAGCCTCATTTAATTATACGTCGGTTTTGGGGAAATGATGGGATTGAGAGCCTAATGGTACAGGAACATATAATATGTTATGTAGACATGTGGAATCCTGCCAATAATCTTTTGTGATCACAAGGTTGCGCTGAACACTAACTCGGACTAGCGACCACACAATCCCATTTGAACATCTTTCAAGAGCGAGGTGAAAAGGCATCAAATCCTTCAAGGTTCGTTTATTAGACTGCGGGTTTAAAGTTTCTCGTAATGTGTAATTGCAATACGAATGAATGTTGTGTTTCGCGGGACGGGCTCTCGCATTTTTTATTTTTATTTCCTTTTTCTTCATGTGACGTGTATGTCGCACGATTCGTTATGATAAGTGTATGAAGATTTGGCAAAAGGCTCGCCATTGTTGAGAACTTTCTTGCACGTCGATTCATATCCAGATTCCAGTTTATCGAAAGCACAGAGTCAAGAAAAGCATCATGAAGTTCCGTAATTTTTGTCCCGTAGATCCAAGCAAAAGATTCGGGCTCGATCTGATGTTCAAGCGCTTGAGTGCGCTTGAGTCTGTTGAGGATGAAGCTGTTGATGGGCCTTCTCATATGCTTCGATTCTTTATGCCTTCAGATATGGAATCGATGGACTGAAATGGCATTTTCCAAAAATGATAAGTATTTTGTATTAGCATCATCTTCCACAACAATCGAGCTTTGGAATTCTATTGCCTGGACTCTTCAGACAACGTTAGATACCGTTTCATACTTTCATCCATGTCCTGTTCACACGATAATCAACCGTTGGCTCTTCGTTCGCGAGATGTTGTGGTTGGATTTTGGGATCTGGCCGTATTAGTCCTGCAGGAGGATCTAGGATCTCCTTTCCAGAATTTACAAATCGTCGACTTCTCAACCATTAGAAATATAATAGTCTATAAGACTCGTGAGGGCACTACTCAGCTTCGAGATCATACTATATGAACTACTATGAAGCAAACCTTGAAATTTTCAAGAAGCGCTATATCACAGCTCTCGAAATGTTATGATGACTTTGTAGCAGGATCTACAGGAGTACATATTGAAACTCTGGAAACACGACACCAGGGTGGAGCTTTCAGGTATTCATGGACAGAATAGGCTTGATGAGCACGAGAGTGTCAACAAAATTCTTCCATGGACTCATCACAAGTCTTTTCCCGATGCAGGCGGGAAGGAGGTCCAGCGAGGTGTTAGCGCTAGCCGTCTCGCCAAATATCGGATTGGTTGCCATCAGCAATTGTCGTGAGCGGGTTAAACTTTTTGATACTAAGACCGAGGCTCAAATCGAGTTACACATAGGGGTAGAACGTCCCCGTATCTGTGACGATAGCAAGGACCTTACATTTTCACTGGACCGCACGATTCGATTCTGGAACCAGGTTTTTGGTATGGTGATATTCATCTTTGGGATACTGCCACTGCCCTAGAACGTTTCCCAAAGATTTTGGAGTCCTCGCTCAGCTCGAAGGATGCAATCGTAGCAACGTCTTCAGATGGCCAAATAGCCGCACGAATTTCAAACGATAATACTATAGATACCTATCTGGTGCCATGTGAGAGCCCACAATCCTAAGTGGGTTCATACACAGAGTCTAACACATGGATCATTCTGAAAAGCTCTGCGCAATGACATTATCATCAGATGGTAGCATACTAGTGAATGCCTCCATTGATCAATGTATCATGATCTGGTGCTCCACGATGAAAAACTTGTTGTTGGTTTCTACAACAAACTCTATCAGATGGCGTCAAAGATTCCATCGCGAGGGTAGAAATTTCATGGAATGGTAAGACGATAATGGCAGTGTGTGGGACAATACAGATTTGGAATCGCACAGAAGAGCGACCGCCTGTGTTGGTTTCTACAGAAAGTTAGCAATTGAGGGAGATTTGGAATCAATGGGCCTAGTAGTACTGTCGCCAAATAATAGTTCTGTTGCTGCTCGTTTCGAGAATGAAGATATTGCTATATAGAATATAGTCTTCATAAAAACCTAATAAACATACAAATAAAAAGAAACGTCACTATTCTTTAGATTTTTTATATTATTAATATATTCGCCTAATAATGTTTTCTTAGTGATAAGTTGCAAAGGGGGAATGATAACGGTATGGAAACCTACTTTTTGGACCAATCATTCTAGCAGTACTGTCGCCCAATGATAGTTCTGTTGCCGCTAATTCGAAAAAATGGAGATATCGCCATATGGGATAGAGCCTTCACAGAAACCCAACAGATACACAAACAAAAAGAAACATCACCATACTTCAGATCTTTCACGTCACTGGCATATTCGCCTAACGCTAATTTTCTGATAACGAGTCGCAAAGACGGAATGGTGACGGTGTGGGAACCTACTCCTGAAACACGATATTCAATGCCGTTATACTACAGCTTGTATCCTGAGAAAATCTATCGAAACCAACATCTTAACTTCACCCAGCAATAAATTATTTATTCTGGGCTTCAGTGACGGCACTATTAGGATACTCAGCATCGATACTCAGCAGTTTGTTTGCACACCGGCATCGGTCGAGTATTATGGAAACATTGAAGCACTATCTGTTTTCCCAATTCTGAGCAATTAGCGGTGATTTACTCATTCGAAACAACATCACAATCTCGTGTGTCTGTCTCCGATATATCCAAACACCATCTCAACCATGCGGAGCCCAAAACCGAGTCTACTGCGTGACAGATGCGTTCTCATCTGATAGTCGTGTACTAGTATCACGCAACAAAATTCCATGGTTGGAACTACTACCATCAGGGTTGGAGCCTTTGAGAGAAAACACTCTACGTGGACTTTGCAGCGACCGTTGACATAGATACAGAGTGCAACAAGCGAGGTCTTTCTCAAGACCATAAATATTTTCAACAAAGAAAGCATCTCTTTGGATTGATCCTCTCTTCATGGTGGTTCATCTCATCTCATCTCATCGCCAACGCAAACTATCTTCAGTAATATCCAGGTCGCTCGGGATCGTATAGAATAAAATCACCGAACAACCGAAAGGTGATGCAGTTTTCTGTCCACTCATAGACCGACTTCCTGTGACGTCTATGATAATAATATCGTTATGGTTAATGAGTCTGGTAGAGCTACCTTTATGGAATTTACATAACGCTGGGTTGCTCTTGAAAATGTGTTTTGGATGGGAAGCTCTCTAATACGAGCGAGTTTTAATACAAACAATCTTTCTTAGCTATTAGTTAGTATCTATTAACTATCAGACTATCAGCTATTTGCTCTCTTTCCATCAATTACCTACCTACCTACACAAAGTAGAGTAAAGTAATCAAATTCAAATATATAATCTTAATCTTTTGCTTTGCAATCCCCCCCCCACCCCCCCCCCCCCCTAGAAATTAGACACTGGACACAACATTCCTTATGATATCCATTATTCTCCTCCCTTTCATTCTCCCCCCTTCTCCCCCTTCCCTTCCCTTCCCTTCCCTCTCTTACTTTTCTCTACTCTCTACTCACTACTCCCTATTCTATCCGACTTGTTTAAAACACACCCACACCCTCAAACTTTCCCTCTTCTTCTCACCCCAAGAAGAAGAAAAAAATGATTCGAAAAATTACATATATGTATATATATATATATTTCTACTGTTCTTTTATGAATAATGCACAAGTATTTCTTTTACGAAGCTCGATTCTCTGTTCTTTTATTAAGAGTGCTTTTTAGATTTAGATATCTCTCGCTATTCTTGTTAATCTACTTCGTTGTAGAATTCAGAGGCAGGAGAGGGGTATGGAATAGATGAGTCAAATAACACAACATAACGAACGCAGAGTTTATATTCTAAAACTTGAAGATATCTGAAATGTGAATAATATCATTGCGTTATACCCTCAAGTAATTCTTTCTCTCCCATTGATCTACCATCTAAATCCATTCCCCCCACCCCTCCTTACAATGTAAGAACATACGCTCCGTGCTTCTACTCCCCCTTCATCGAAAATAAACCACCATCTCCCCCGCCAGCCTGACTCCCACCGCACTAACCAACTCTGCAATAATCCCCTTGAGACTATCCACATCCCCTACACTATCGCTCTCCCAACTCACCAGCTCATGCGTCTCGTGCATACTTTGGCCGATGCGGATTTTAACATGATCGAGTGGGGATTTTGTTAGAATGTCGGATTTAGAAAGGAGACCTGGCATGGATGTTTCAAAGATGGGTTTACTATCTGCATTGTAGAGAGCCGATGAATCTTCATCCGACGTGTTGTTTGAACCGAGTTTGTGTTGAAGATTCTGAGGATTCAGAAGCTGTTTGAGTCTCGCTGACATATTTCCTCTCGTCAAATCTTCTCCTCAAGTGTTCATCAAAGAGTATCCAATTGTACGTTTCCGGATCCAGAATATACTGAGGTCTGTAATCCCCTTTATATCTCATTTTCACACAAGCGTGAATATAAAAACCTGCATACCAATATTGATAACCCTCTTCTTTTGCTAGTGCTATTTCTCGCACTGCGCCTAGTTTTCCAAAGCCGTGAGAATGTACCGATTCGTGATACATGAAGTAGACTGCGCTGACGCATTTAGGGAGGAGATCCAGAAACGCCTTATAGCGATCAATTTTCCATCGAGACGGTAACATTGGTGGTAGGAACCTAAATGTTTGATTTTGCCGTCGATGGTTGTGTGGTACTTTCGTGGTAAAGGGGAAGAGCAGAGGAAATTTTTGAAACCTCCTTTACTTATTCTATCAGGGGGTTCATGATGAATAATCCTTTGATAATTTTCAAAAAGAGTATATTTTTCTTCTGTAAACTCATCTGTTTCCAACGTAACAGTAAAAGCATGTGCTGGTTCCGGTGGTGTCTTAACTCTTTCCTTTTCCCCTTCATGAATTCTTTCCTCGAGATCAAAGTCCGTATTGCGTTTCTTAGCTTGCTCGCGTGATTTTGGAAATAATCTTGCTGCTTCTTTTGTATATGCATCTCCGAGGACATATTTATTGAAACGATTTACGACTTGCCGTTGATCTTTTGTCGCGCGAAATTGGTGGGAATCTAGGCGGATGGTATATTGTGGACAGCCTGATTTTCGAAGCTCGGGTTTATAGAGAAGGGTACCTGAGCGTCTCCATCCTCGATCGAGAAGTCCTTGATAAAATTCTGGTTGGAGTGATTGGGTCCTGGCGTAGTACGAATAACCTAAAGGTAAAAACAGATAAATGAGTGACCTCTGCACGCCGTGAAAGCTTGAAGGGAGCTTTTGAGCAACTAATTCAGATATTGAACAATATTGAGTATATGAAAGGAAGTAATTTCCCCATTAAAAGAAGCACGTGTGATAGAGACATATGGCATGATGTTGCCAAGAATACAGATTTGTAGGTAGGTAATGAGGAATATGTAACTAACTGCCTGAATCATTGTGACAATATCCACAACTATTGTTCCTGTAGCCTAGAAATCGCATGAATCAAGTCAGCAAATTGATAACAATTTTGTCATTTTTGTCATATTGATTTCTTCTGAAAGATACTGAAATCTGCAGTGTCATCGGCGTTTCGTGCTACAATACAAATCCGGGTGATGGTAATTTTAGAATTTCAACGTGAGGACCGGGGAAGAGGGATTGTATGGTTCCTTTGCCATGATCGTGATGATTGTGGAATGGTAACACTTGTATGATGATGAGTTTTGAATTTCTGGTTCAGCCGTTGTTTTCTGGGAACTGGATGAACTGAATGAACAGGATGAAGTGGGGTTGTTGTTAAACCACATGAGAGGAGATGGTGATTGTGACCCATAACTACCAAGGTATCTCATCAAATTCCCCGTGATATTTTTGGGATGTATACAATGTAGTACTACTACGCAGCATCCAAGTAGATATGATTCATTCGTATATTTGTACAATATACAGCATGCAGTGTGACAATACCAAAGAAGAAGATGGCATTGAAAGGAAATCTGGGCAGAAGGAAAGGAGACGATGAGAATGCAAAATGAATTAACATCGAGCCATTTACCCACGAGGTCAATTTATTGGCCAATGATGAATACCAGAAACCAAAATGGGATTTCTTTCTGCTTTTCTGGTTCTCCAATAACGAACGTTGGAACTTACCAAGGGGCGAAAGAAGCGAGACTGGGGTTTGCATGACGTGGAAACAGCCCAAGGTGACAAGGCCGATATTGGCTGTGAGATGGAGATGATGATGACAATGATGTTGCTGCTGTTGTTTTTGTTGTATGGGTACGGACGGGTAGATAATTCGCCGGATTGAAGTGGGAGTGAGTGCAGATGAGAGTGGGAGTGATGGTGGGAGACAGAGTGAGAGTAGGTAGTGGAATCAGGAGTAGAGTAAAGAGTGGGAATTAATAGTTGGGTTCGTGTTGTCAAGCCGCGTTCAAGAAAAGATCATGAGAGCTTGAGACTAGAATGGAGTTTGATTTGGTAAGTTAATCATTCCAATAACTTCCGATCCATATCAATGAAATTATATGCAATAATCGAATAATCCAAGCATCAAAAGATAGATTTTTGGAATTGGCGGGGGAATGACATACATTGTTTGATACTCAATACTCGGATATTGTATGTAGGAAGGAGTCTGTGGTTCTGTACTCTGTTGTGTAACCTTTATTACTCTCCGTCGAACCAATTATGAGGATTGGTGAATTTGATATGCTGCTGACTTTGTTTTGGGCGGAAAAACAGGTCCGATGCCGATGCCGATGCTGGTGCCGGTATGTATGTGTGCATGTAGGTGGGTAGGTATGGTTGCGGCTTTTGCGGCTCGATCTATCTAGGTGTTGCTTATTCCATGGGTTTGCAGGTAAGTCCATGCTAGTAAAGTAAGTAAGTGATCGGTTGGTAGAATGATTGTAGATGAAGATGAGTGAGTACGTTGTATCAACTTGTATGATACTCAGTACTTTACGGTCCGTACTCGAAAGCATCGTATGAACAAACAGGACAGGACAGGGTAGCATTTACCCACCTAGGTACCGGTAAAGGTGTGTATTTCCTAGCGACAATCCCTTTTACCCCTAATTCTTGCTGCAGTGATTCTTTTGATGGGTATCAATAGTTTGTAAGATCTTACTCTCTAGTCGCCAGCTGGAGAGAAGATCAGGAGACGAGACATACGATCGTTATCGATCATCATACCGACAAGGAAAAGTGACTCGACAGTGCCTACCTCCCCATTTAAGATATTCACCTGCGCGGTGGATGTGATGATACATGTATTAACATTACAACGGCTCGGTAAACCCCCACTCATCAGTCTTGGTGGTTTGAGATTCCTGAGTGATACGATATATAGTAAAGAGATGTGTTACGGGTTAGATATATTACTGGTTAGATATATACTGGTGAGATATATACTGGTTAGATATATACTGGTTAGATATATACTGGTTAGATATATTACCGCTTATCGAGATTGAAGCTTTTTGATGCAAATAAGACAGGACAGGATAGAATTCAACGTAGTAACAAGTACTAGGTAGGTCGTACTGAGTGGTTATGATCTCAAGGTTTATATTGAAACGCCACTCATCATTTACAGCTTCTAGATCGTGCTACCTACCTACCTCCCCATTCACACCTGGCTAGAATTCACCGTTACCAAGCTCGATTAAATTCCCTTGCCAAGTTTACGGAGCAGTTGATGCATAGAATTTCCATGCTTAGATAAAACCAGGAGGGTGTTGCAACAGATGTTAAAGACATCTAAAAGTTCTTTGAGCATTTTCCACAAATTCATATATACCAGTATTTTAGCTATATATACGAGTACCTATATATGCTCATACATATAGACATATAAATAAAAACCTACAAACATAACTCCGATACCGATATTAGGAAAAAAGGCACGAGACACGGAACCATCTAGGTATAGGTAGGTACCTAGGTATTGTAATATCATATCAAAAAGATATATCCCAAGCAAGCTAAAGGCTAGCCCTTCTCTTCTCCCTCCCCCCCTCTCTCTCTTTGACGGTTTGACGGTTTGACGGTTTGACCTCTCCTTCTCCGTTTACTCCTAACCATTTCTTTCATATAAAGTTGGAAATCTTTTAAAATTAATTAGGTTAGTGAGAAAAACGAGTGGATGTTTGATCGTTGTAGCAAGCCTTGCCGTAACTCGTCCTGTACTTATATTACTTTACTTTACGGGACTGTGATTTGAGTAGTAGAGTAGTAACCCCTTCACATCACCTCACCTCACTTCACTTCACCACCTCACCTGCACTTTCACAATCAGTCAGTCAGTACTTTCCAATTGGAATCCAGTCAGTCATTATTGAAAAATCTTCAAAGAAGACTGACTCTATTCTACACACACACACACACACATCCCGTACACATTCATACACACGCATACACACTCATAAACTTATCACCCCTTTCTCTTTCTCCTTCTCCCTCTCCGTCTCCTTCTTCTTCTTCGTCCTCCTCCTCCTCTTCTTCTTCTTCTTCAAAATCCGAATTGTCTGATACATTTCCAACACATAATGACAATCAATTAAATTTCAATTCATTACACATTGTCCTTCAATTCTCACGAGATCCAAACAAATATCCGATTTGATATTGCAATCTCCCTCCCAGCCTACTACCAGATAACATGCACGATTGCGCTTCTTGATCCTTTTTTAAGAAAAAAAAAAGTTACAGTAGCCTACTCAATTCCCTCCCGCAGCCGAACTTTACCTCAACGAACTTTTAATTATTTGATTTACAACAACGAATTGTGCTTCCTGCACTGTGCATCAGCACCCTACAGGTGAAGCATCACCTTCATCATGGCAACAGGCCTTCCTATGGAATCTCGTACGGGGAGAAATAACCAACGTACGTTTTGCAATTCCTCTATGCCATTTGGCGCATTCGTACCTTTTACCTCTTACCTTTGACATTCTCCCACTTCCAAATCCGGAATGTTCATAGGCTTACATCCTCCTTTTGGAATACAGGTTATGGCCCAGAAGGAGAAAGACTCGTTGCGGGAGTGGTCCCTTTGAACGAAGCAAAAACTCACGTCCTCCTTATACAATCTACACGTCGGAACGCATGGGTTTTACCTAAAGGTGGATGGGAGACTGATGAAGAATGCATGCAAGCAGCACAACGTGAAGCATGGGAGGAGGCAGGAATAGTTTGTACCGTCGATTATGATTTGGGTCAAATCACCGAAACCAGAACTGCCAAACAAATCTCGAAGAATGCACCCAAAGCACTTTACCAATTCTTCCAAGTCACCGTTACAAGCGAAGAGACAGAATGGCCAGAGAGGCACAAGAGGAATCGAAAGTGGGCGACATACTCAGAGGCAAAACAGGATCTTCAAGAGCGTCCAGAATTATTACAGGCTCTTGAACGTTGTACCATTCAACGGTAGCCTTAGGGGCCCGGTGTTTACTCTCCAACAATTCGCTGTAGTAGGACGGTCGAAGAGACAACAATACACAGTACACAGTACACGACGATATTCCTTTCCATCCGATCGAGTCGGGATTGAGCAATCATAAGTTTTTGAGATCGGTCGTACTGTATACACACCAGTTGCAGTGTTAATTCAACGAGTTATGGATACCGGGTTCCATTGAAAAAATAAGTAAAAAAAGATATTTTGAGGATTTTATTTTTGGGTTGGTTGGTTGGTTTTCTTCAAGAAAATTGCTGCTTTACTCTTCTTTTTTTCGTCTGCACTAGATGGCAAAATAAAGTCGGATCTAATGCAGTGTGTTCTCATCACTCACATGTTGTTCTATGGTCATTTTCTTTTTCTATTGAACATCATATATTTACCTACTTTGAGGTTTTTCGACACCTTCATTGTTACATATCTCCCAAAAAGCGCCATGACATGTCACATTTTGAGATCTTCGTTGAAGTACTTGAGTACTAACTTGTACTGTTCTTGCTATATCTAATGGAGTGGACAGACAGTGTTTATACTAACAGTCCATGGAAATTTCTATTGACATTGGGGGAAAAAACAAAGGGAAAGGAGGAAGGATTGATTCGACATCGAATAATATATATAGAGAAATAAAGAGCAATATCATTACCAACCTTGACTTCACACTTGAGGAGTAATAGCATCTTGAATACGGAATCTCAAGGATACAGGTACTTACTTCATTGTCATCAAAAATTAAGGAGAGATGATCAGGATAAAGATCCAAGGCGGAATACAGAGATACACGATGGTCAGGATTTTCCGGTATCTTCAAGAGCAATGAATGTCCTTCATAGCATTTCTTCTTTATTCTTTACCCTCTCCAAAATAACTTTGATGGGGAAAGAGCATACACAGGTAGGTACCATATTTCATTCAAATAGGTTCGGGGGTTTTCACTTTGCAAATTCAGATAGGAATAATAAATAGACACCCCAACATTCCAAACAAGGCCGTCATTCAATTCATCCTGATATCAAAATATAAAAAGCAAATCCATTTTCCCAAGACGTCTTTTCTTTACCCCAACTTTAACAGTGCGCGTCTATCAACCGATTGGTCACTCTCTATCACCACAACCATTGAATCTTCTACTTCCACTTCATCCAACCAAACTATTCATCTCGTCCACGAACCTCAACTTTTGGAGATTTTTATCGTCAACTCGCGGAATGGATTGGTTGAAACTCTCACTATTACGATAATCGATTTTTACCTTCAAGATACCGACTAGATGGATCAACAACCGACATATCAAGGCCCAGAAGGAGGGGCTGAGATGCCAGCTCTAGGAGCTGGTATAATACCTCCTCCGCCGAATCAGCAACTCCCAGCGCAAATGTTTACGACTGCTGCGCAATTGCTTGACTTGACTGATAGTAAGATTCCCCGATCTGCGAAGCTATGTTGGAAATACTGGTTGTGTTACGGCTACTTGCATAGAGTACTAGTGGTAGATCTATGGCTTGAGAATATGCACACACAGCTCTTTGATGATGAATACATACATATACTAATTGAAATATTTTTACTCTACAGAAAAGCTTATGATCTCCCTCCGCGATGGCAGAAAACTTATTGGAATACTCCGAAGTTGGGACCAGTTCGGTATACACTCATTTCCTATTCTGAAGCCCCATCACATCATATCACATCACGTCACTCACTAAACATTCCACTACAGCAAACATCGTCCTTCAATCTACCGTCGAACGGATATTCATTGCGCCTCCCCCTCCCTCCTCACCTCAAGGTGCAACGCAGCCTGGACTCTACGCCGATATACCCCGCGGACTGTTTCTCGTGCGTGGCGAGAATGTATTGTTGCTGGGCGAAATAGATTTGGACAAAGATGATGAGGCGCCGCCAGGATATGAGAAAGCCGATGCGGAGGTGGTGCATAAGTTGGATAAGGAGAGGAGGGCGATGGAGGCGAAGAGGGATAAGAATCGTTTGAGGAAGTTGGCAGAGTTGGGATTTGAGGGGGAGAATTCGGGAGAGGCTATATTTGGATGATGTGGGTGAGGAGAGAGGGGGGAAATGGGTGGATTAGGGAGAATTGGGGTAAGGAATGGAGGGTATGAGGGAGGTGATGGGGAATGAGTTCGAGATGGAATGGGACAGTAGATCAGAGATGTGGTTACAAAAAACTCAAGGCCGAATATTGTGAAAGGCTAGCTGGCGATTTCTATCAGTCAGTTGTGGTAGATCTATGACAGATTCAACCACAGGAAACATAATTTTTCCTTCTTCTCTCCTAACTGTTTGGACCCTTTTCACGATTTACCTGTGTGAGTATAGCGTTTTTAGAGAAACTAACGAAAGACCTTACACATGAATCACGACGCGTTAGAGAGCAAGGATCTCTTCATCCTAAAAAATGAACTTTAAACTTTGGGCTTTGGAATTTTGGGAGGTCTTAAATGCAAATGTTGAATGGAGGATGGGGAGAAGAAGAGTGGAGGATCGAGGATAGAGAATAGAGAATATGACTAACTCGAAGTCGAAATCGAAATAGGAATAGGTGTATCGGGTGATGTCTTCCGTTTAATGCATAGAGAGTACAAGAAACTCAATATCCGAAATCAAAGGAAATGGTTAAAGGATTAATAGATAGGTAGATTGTCAGGTAGGTGTGAATGAATGGGCGGATGAATGTGTGGGTGGATCTATGGATATCCGAAATTCATGATTATGCTCATTCTCTACTTTAAAGATTGAATTTGTGTAATTAAAATCATGGTGTATTATGTATTAGAGAGTACGAGTAGAGAATCTAGATTGATTGGTGATTAGTAGGTATGCGGTGGTATGCAGTGGTATACTTGAGTATACCAGAATTAGCTAGTTAGTCTTTCTTGCATATAGTAATTCTTATTGAGAAATTAACCAAGTATCTGTAGATCGACCAATGTCTTTGTTGAAGTGTGAGAAGTGTTAGTTCGGACACTCCAGTGGATAAAGAAATTCTACGATAAATTCTCCGTCCCCATAAGGCGTATCGTAAGGCGTGGGGGAAAAGGAAGAATATCGGTACCACTAGAAGATTTACTAGAAGATTTCAAATGCTTCTCTTTGAAATAACGGTGGTTTACGATGGAGCATGCATACATTGCATTCGCCAATCTTGGAATTGAGTTCGGACTGTCCGGTGGGAACGTTTGTGGTATATGCTGGACTTGACACAAGACTATCGAGATCGGATCGATTGGAAACACGTGCTAGTTGGCCATTATTCAGGAGAACTGTTTCGCGAACGCGTCAAGAATTCGCGCGGGGTTCTTAGGATTCTCCTATTTTTTTGAATCGCTTAGGTTACGGATGGGTCATCATGAGATGTAGTGGGAGGTCGGGTTTATCTACTCGTAGGTATCTATCAAATTGACTTTCTTCCTTTCACACGCTTATGATATGATAATGAATTAGACAATAATTGGAATTGGAAAACTCTCAACCTTTTTTTTTTTTTTTGCTTCCTTCTTTGCTTTCTAGATTCCTTCCAGACTGTTTTACCATATCCACCGAGCGCAAATCTTGAGATGAAATTTGGAAATCATGCGCGGGCAGCGCGGGACCGGGATCCACACGCTTGGGAAATTCATGCACGATAACCGTTTGAGTAATGAATTGGGGGAGAAGCAGGATTGGCATGATGGATGAGAGGGGGAAAGCGAGCAAGTTCCTAGTTGGGGGGCGTGTCACTTGGGACGGTTTGGGAAGGAGGATGGATACTCGAGGGAAGTTTGTGGGTGGAGGGTTTGGGTGGTGAGAAAGAGCATGAGGAGGTAATTTTCAAAGGGATATGAAGTACTATTGATTTTGAAGAAAGTTTTGACGTTTGACGCGCTTGGTTTGGAGATGAAATGAGGGATGTTGGGATGGGAGGGTGGATGCGATGGAGAGGGGTGGATGGAGCGATGACGAAATTGCTTTTGAGAGTTCTATGAAGGGAGATGTTCGCACCTTTTTTTTCCCTCTTCTTTTTCTTCGAAGAGTTGTCTTTAGTAGCTGTCATTAGGAAGATTGTCTTTTCGATACCCAGATACCCAGATACCCAGATTCTATTCACTTCTTCGGACTACGACATCATCTCGAGTCTTTATTACTTTTTTCCCATCTTCGACAAGAAACAGACACACACGCACACTTCATCTGCATCCTCATAATCACATAATCCCACACACTACACCCGCAGCATTTACGCTCCGGGCCCTCGAAAATCTTTCAAAATCTTTCACTCACACCCCCGTCAGAGACCGCACATCACCTGTCGTCTTCTCTCCATTCGTCCCCGCAGTTCTCGCTCTCGAACAAACTCAAACATGTCTTCTACTCCTACCACCACTGGACCGATCCCGGCTCCCACAAATACGGTGAATCCTCTCCCCGCGACACCTGCTGAGGCTGCCGCAGGAGTCGGCCCCGCCGCTTCGGGAACCGCATTGGATTTGCACACGCAGACTGAAGATGCGGCAAAGGAATACAAGAATGCGCAGAAGGCTGAGAAGGCTTACGCGCAGAAGAAGAAGTGCATGACTGCGAGAAAGGAGTGGTATGATTGTAAAGTACACTTTGCAGCTGGAGTGCAGGGCTTCAGAGAGGGAGGCAAATGTGTTGGACGGGTTGTCAAGGCCGGACCGGCTTTGGCGATGGAGAAGGTTAAGGGGGGAAAGGGCCAGGGCGTCAAGACTGTGGATAGTGGTGCTTCCGGAGAGAGTATCATGGTGGAGAAGGAGAATGCTAATAAGAAGAGTGGTAATGGTGGTGTGAAAGCAAAGGTGATGGGGTTGAAAGAGAACTTTGGCAATGAAGGAGAAGAGGGCGATGGAGAAACAGGCAAAAACTGATGAGAAAACTGCCATCGCCACTCCCACTGCAAGCGGAGCTGTAGCAGCAACACCAGCCGCAGAAGCTACGCCTGTTGTTCATGTTCCTGTTGTTCCTGTTGCTCCCGTTGCAGCAACACCAGTCCCAAGTCCAACACAGACCAAACAGGAAAAAAAGAGAATGACTCTGGATCAGGTGAGACATCGAATTCTTTCCTATCGTCACTCGCGTTTTTGTTCCATGTCATCGGAAGATGATGACGAAGAGGTGAACGTCGCGCCTCGAATTGCAGGTTGGATGACCTATTTTCTACCCTTTCACTTACTCCTCTTCTCCTTATCTTTACCCTCTCACACATTTGAGTTTGCTTTGAGGGTCTTGGATTCCGAGATGGATGGATAGACACATTCTGTACGATTTCTAGACAAATAAGAATAGCATGCTGATTGAAGACAATAGAGAATCCAACAAGAAGAAGCCAAAGCGCTCGCGCGTCAGGAAGCGGAAGCCTCCGCGGCACACGCTACAGCTGCGACCGGCGAAACCCCAGTCGTGGCTCCCATCCCAGCTCCGGCGCCCCCTCAAGGGCTAACTCCCATCCAAACCACGCACACATCAGCATCGTTGGCGAACCCCCCGCAATTACCTCCCAAGACACAGTTGAGTCCCCCCGGATCCCCAACGAAGGGGACCATGGAGCCCATTCACGAGGACGGGGAGACGGGGGCTCTACCATTGGCGAGCGGGGTGCAGGGGCCGGTGGAAACGCAGAATCCTGGGTAGTTGGGGGAGGAGCACCGGCCGGACAATAAGCGAAGGGGGAGATGGGGGCGGCGAGGGCTTGAAAGCCAGAGTGGCGGTTATGGTGCGAGGGAGATTGCGAGGGGGTGATGCGCGCGCGCCTGCTTTTCCATGGTTTGCGGCGCACTATGCAGATGAGAGTGAGGATTCGAGCGAGGAGGAGAAGAAGAGGGGAGAAGAAAATGCATGCGAGATGGGAATGGGAATGGGAATGGAATGAAAATGAAAATGAAAACAGCAACAGCAACAGGAGCCAAAGAATCAACGCGAGCACGAATGATGGGGCATTTTTCCAGGACGAACAAGACTGATGCAGGAATGAATTATAACGAGAAGAGATTTCGCCGCCCGGGGAAGTTGGCGACGTTGCGCTTGAGAGTGGAGTTTGTTTGTGTCGAAAGTGAGGGATTGGGCGAGTGATGCGATGGGATGGGTTGGGGTGTTGATTATGGATTTTTTGGGGAGGGTGAGTGTGATGGGAGAGGGAATCAGGAAGAAGATTGGTGGGAAGAAGGGAAGAAGGAGAAGAAGGTTAGGTTTTCCAGGAGAGCGTTTTTTCTAGGGGGGGTGATGGGTGGGGTGGAGATTCTGTGTTATGGGCTTTTATGAGTTTTTTTGATGTTTTCATGATTTTTATGTTTATGTTTACGTTTACGAGTTTTTATTGTTTTACTTTCTTTTTTTTGGATTTTTCACGAGTTCTCTTCTTCATCATTCATGTTAATGTCTCATGATTACGAGTACGAGTACGAGTATGATATTTTGTTTGGTTTTTAGTTATTGGTTTTGGTTTGGTTTTGGTTGTGATTATTTATCCTTCTTTCTTTTTGATATCCATTATTTGCACATAAGTCGTACTTTTCAATCTTCTTATTTTGGCTTTTTCGAAAGGGTAATTTGGGTAACTTGAATCAATATAGATAGAATTACAGTATAGTTTGTATGTTGATACTACTGCTTTTCTTCTTGCTTGTGATGGTGATGGTGATCGATAGATTCCTTCCCAATGGGTGCGCAATATATTCATGTAGGAAATTTGTATGAGTGTTGGAATTTTATTTCGCTATGAGAATAGCATACGACGTTCTATTTGATGAACTTCCTTTACTCTAGTGAACCCCTCTCTATCATACACCATAACACCACTCTCATTCATCCACATCTAACTAATGCCGAAATCTCCCCCCCTAAGTTTCCAGCAAAATCTTCTTCTAGAGCTAATCTGTGTAATCAAGGAAATAACTCGCGAGTTGATAAGAACTTCTTCAGCAAATCTAACCATATCAATATCCCAGATACTTCAATTCATCTTTCCCTCTCTTCCCCAACAGAAATATAGATAATACCCACCTTCAACAGTACAGATTCCGATCAATATCGAATTACTTGATACACATATTATATATTGGGTCACATGGAATTTCCCGACTGCATTCACAATCTCTAGTAAATTTTAGTGCACCTCACTCTTCCTTTCATTCAGAAAATCGTTGAGTGAAATAGTGAAATAGTGAAATAGTGAAATTATGGATCAAAACCATTCAAATCCGTCCAAAATTTTGCACACATCTGCATATCCAACTATTGTATTTCATCCCAAGAAATTCTGAATGAAAATTGCAATCCAACACAGTAGCACAGCACAGCACAGCACAGTACAGCAAGTATCATGATATCCATCCAAATCACCAGCACAGCACAGCAAAACAACAAGAACCAAGAAACTCAAGACCACAGATCCATTTCCCCACTTCCCTCCTCCAACCTTCGCCTCAAAGATCGATCTCTCCCCGCCGGCCCTCGCAATATTTGTTCGCCAGTGATGTACATTCACCGGATCCTTCTGATACAAATTCACCTCGAAGAATTTATTATGAGAGGTGCATTTGAAGTTCTTATATCTGTCTACTCATCAGTTTGCAACTCATCATTTCGCATATCATATCATGCATTTTCATCATCATAAACACTGAAATTGAAAACAATAAAAAGCCCAGTACTTACGAATTCAACTTCTGATAATTGGCTTGGATCAGATGCTGTTCGGTGATCTCGATAAAATCTCCCGGGGAGGTGTCATCGGGGATGAAGTAGCGTTTAGATTCAAGAGGACCGTAGTTGACTTGTTGGACAAATTGGATGGCGTACGGGGTGGTAGGAGCGATGGGGTTGGAGTCAGCTCCTGAGTCCTTGGGAGGTGTGACGGAGGAGGAGCGAGGGTAGTCGGCCCAGACTTTGAAGCTGGTGAATTTCTGTTGGTGGGTGAGTTGTTGAGGACGAAAGGACTCGAGGGAATCACAGCAGAAGAGAGTGGTCATGATTAGGTTAGAAGGTGTAAGGGAGAAGAATAGTTTGATTTGAAGTGGAGGATAGATGTTTTGGTTTGTAGTTCATTGAAAGTCCAACGAAGTATTATGAGACGATTGCAGAGCAATTGAAAAGAAAATCGAGGATCTGGATGGGTATATTTATGCAATGAGGACTTTTGCGTTCCACGGGACTCCAAGACACAAAATCAAGAAAGATGCAAATTATTCCCCAGACGATGGAAGCATCAAATGTCCAATAACCCGAACATATTGGGACTTGAACATACCAAAGCTTGAAAATCTGAGCTCGATCTACACAACCAAAAAGCCACTCCTCTCCTTGCCAGCAACTTTCTCAAGACCCCGCCTTCATAGCATGCGACATCGTCAAGAAATCAAGTGTTGGGGTTTGACTGCAGATTTTCATGATAGACTGTGAGCTTTTTTGCACCTCGGACCCTCTGTCATCCTCAGTAAGAAGATGATTCATTGGTAGACTCTTGAAAATGAGGCCTACAACTAAGGCAACTTGCGTCTGGACTAAGCACTTCGCATTAAAAATATATGCAAGCTTCCATAATACTATTTCCACGGCGTCATGATAGCAAATACGATTGGCAGTGCTCATTTGAGGCCACCTATCAGATTCCTCAAGAGCTATTCTCATCGCCGATAGTATGCAGAATGATGTTCAAATTCATGTTCTTAATATCGGAAATTCGATATTTTTTGAATTCTCGCTGCTGATTGGAGCATTACAATTTTGAGGCCTACAACCAGGGTGGTATAAATACTGAATGGATATTGGTTGAGCGATCTCGCTTCCAACACGTGCAGGCATTCAATGATGATGACTGATTGGCTGTAGCGACATCTCGACCATCATAAGAACCCTCGAATTTCCCACCTTCGTTCCTTTTTTTTCTTTCTCTTCACGGTGCGAGAGGCGGCGCTGTCATTCCTCACTCTTTTTTCCCCACACAGTCACTCCTTAGGGCTCTTTTTTTCATTCATCTTCAGCATCTTCCTACTCTTTGCAATACCTTAACCCTAATTCAGGGGCCTCCGCTACGATCAAGGAGGCCCAAAGCGAATAGAACCTATCTTCTCGGAATACACCGCTGGGAACGAAAACGAACATAATCATCTACTTTTTGAATTTATCAATCCCAGCCTTTTAGACCTCAGGATACATCCTGTTCCTTCTTCATTCGAATCAAGGGTTACTGTTGATGCTCGGGAAGCAAACAGACAAGTTGATGAGAATGAATGCCCTTCCGCTGAAGATGACAAGCATGGAAATTTCGATCCTCTGCCTTACACTCCTTACAACACTTTGCTAGATCTGCTTGCGCTAGACGCAGAGTCTCCGCAAGCTCTCCAATATGTCGAAGAACCAGGCGAAGGCCGGGTTCAGTACGGTCTTTACCAAGCCCAATCAGTCTCCAATCCTCACGTGGAGCAATTCCAACATCATCATCATCATCCTACTGGTCAGATTTTACCTGAGCAGCCAGAACCGCAACCAGTTGCTCAACACTACGCTTGCCCAGAATGTCAAAAACAGTTCAAACTACCATGTGAGCTAAATAGTAAGTGCTAATTCTTTTGAAATCCATATTGCATGACTTGTTGATGTTGACATTCAAACCTCAGTGTTCATATAAAATCACATACTCTCCCTTTCAAGTGTCGCATATCCTCATGTAAATCACTCGGATTCCGGTACCAGAAAGATCTGAAACGCCACATTGCAAGTATACATCCCAAGCTCAACCCAAATGGGGAAATATATTTTTGTGATGCGGAAAGCTGCAAACACTCAAGAGCCGAAGGAAAGGGGTTCACGAGGAAGGATAATTTTAAAAGGCACAAGAAGAATTGTAAACGTCGGATCCAACAGATGTGACAAGAAAGTTTGCTGTGTAATTAGTCAATGGGAGTACTTGAGGTTGCGGTAGAAACAGAAATATGATTTGTTGATGACAATCGCCAGTACATTGCCGCTTAATCATTGCGATTGTAGAATCATGACGGAATTCCTAGAACCCCCAGACTGCATTTCTCCAAGTTGCTCAGACAAAATCACCGGCCTTGTCGTCTTCACATCAGCCAAAACGCCGAAGTCCAAATGATCAGCTCTTTTTCCTCTGCTTTTGCTACTAAGCTCATCATCTTGTTTCCTTTTTCCTCTTACCACCATATTTCAACCCTTTTGCATTTCGCCTTATCCAATTGTTGAGCTGTGGATTCATTTGCATATACTCTGAAAGCAAATATACCCCTTCAATAATCGAAGGTTTTATGTAGGAAGACACACCCAAACCATTGCCGCCTCAACTTTGTAATCAAACCACAAGCCAGCATGCAATATTTCCAGTGAAGATTTATTGACAGCACTAGCCATTTGTGTGATGTCAAGAACATCATGAATCATATCCCATGAACGCTTGAGGCTCATACAACGAGAACGCAACAAAAAGCTGATTTTAAAAGAACGCCTTTGTCTTTCCTATACCATGCCCTTCAGCCATCACTCAACGACATAATTTTACCGACAATACCAACTCCTTCAAGAAGTTTTCTTCCCTCAAGTCCATGAATAGACTCTCTTAGAAAGCTGTCACTTGCACTTGCAGAAGCAAAAGGTGTAAAACTGTCACAACATTGAGGGCTGAGTTTAATTTCAGACTCTTATGATGTTGAAAGAAAAATCTTGGTCAAAATATCACCCAGCAAATGGCTAGAAAAGGAGATATGTAGTTCCTCAATTCGTCATGATCGTTCCAGTCGGATGGATCATATTTTGCAGATTGTATCAAACTGTAAGCCAAAGTGAGAACCGGGAAACCTTTGATACATAATATCCAGACTTCATATAGATAGGGAATCATCATCATCATCATTAGCAATCTTCAGTACTTATGCCCGGCCCTTTAATTACCGCCCCTCAACCAAGCACAAACTCCCAACACAAAAACACAAACCATGGCATCTCCACTGACTGTTCCCCAAATACGTCCATATCTTAAGACCATGCCTACATAACTCTTCCAAGGCTCTGGCAAGAAACCCATCACTGTCCCCATCATACCAGCTGGCATAGAATTTCCCTTCTCCAAATAAAATCTGCTGGTCAACAAGACCACTTCTGACGTTGCAAAGATCCAAAAGAAATGCACACTATCCGCGCTCAATCCATCATTCGCCAAACCCGACGCCTCGCGTGCATATTTAGTGCCCGTAAATGACGTCGTAAGTGCTATATACAAGCCGAGGGATAATGCGAAAACGGCATGAACTATGCGCCAAATGTATGCATAAGGATCAACAGCAGCGGCTTGAGCTTGCCCTTCCATTCCCATACCGGGCATACCAGGCATACCGGGAAAGGAAGGCATTCCAGCTTGTCCTTCGCCCGGTGGTCCACCCATTCCTCCCATCATCTGTTGTAACATTTGCATCATGGGATCGTTTGCGCCGTCTTCACCGGGTGCACCTCCCATACCTGGGAAACCTGCGAAAGGATTTTGGCCAGGAGCACCACCCAAAGAGCCTGGATCCATACCCAGCATCATTTGCCTTAATTGATCATCATTTAGTTGCTGTTGTTGCTGGCCACTCTGAGACCTCTGGATCGGCGTGCGAGTCTGCGGCTCATAATAATGATTCGAAATATCTACTTCATCTGGATCCGCATGGTTTGTAGCCTTGGGAGATGTTTGTGCTGGCGCTTGCGATGGAACCTCCTCTGTAACCACCATTAGCTTATTCAACATATAATTCAAAGAGCAATCCAAAATAGCCTCTAAACAGGACAAGTACAAACCTCTAGGTAAACCACCACCTAACCCAATGATCTTATTCAACCTTGCATTTCCCCCATCTCTAATCTTTGCTTCTCTCTTTTCCTTCCTAATGCGTGCCTGTCTCTGAGATGGCGTTTCTGCTGCTGGCTCAGAAGTTTCGGCCATTTTTTTTTTTTTTTTTTTTAAAAAATTGTTGTTGAGAAAATGGAAAGATGATGACTTGGACAGATTTGATGATGTCGTTTATTATTTACGTGGTTGGAAGCTTCCGGAGCTGGGATTTTTTTTGGTGGGGGAAAGCTAGAAGGGGTCACCATACATTTATTTACCTGTACCCGTAGGTAGATACTTATTGCACTAGCTTTAACAATGATTCGGTCTGTACGAGTAGTTAAATAGAATTAACCAAATCAACATAATTGTGCATCATTGGTATGGTATCAACCAAACTGTACAATGTTTCACGATTATTTCAATAGGGAATCATTGATTCATTCATAATCCATAAGAAGTTGATTGGTATCATGTTCACCACTTCTAGAACAAGACATACATCATTTTTAGGGTATTCCTCGCCAAGTTACATCAACACGCAATTGCAATCATAGGTATTACTCTTAATTCAAAGATAAAAAAGCAGTATTATAAAGAATAAGTTCTTACTCTAGCAATATTTCTTTACTATACACACATGCTTCGCTCTCATCTTAATCCTCATTCCTTCGTTCCGGTTTTTAGTTCTCAAATTAAAATAAAGTATTCGCTTCAACTCTAAGGAGTGACTTTGCTCATGCTAACTAATCGTTTGACACCGACCTGTATTGATCATTAGTATATGTTACATTCAAACCCAAAAAGACAACTATAAAACTTACCATCCAATTGCCACACTCATCAGGCTTTTCACGATGAATGTCGACTTGCATCCTGCTTGCTGTTTCGTAGTCACCAGATTGAAGTGCCTCCGCCAACTGGGTCAATTTCTCGATAGTATCAGGTTTTACAAGTTCCTCATTATTCAGATGATCAAACAAAATGTTGAGGCGCTTCTGAGTGTCTTTCACTTGAGGAGCAAAATTTGCTGGAGCTTTCGAGGCTACTCTTTGCATGTCACTGGTGAAGATTTCGACCATTCTCTGAGCAGATTCGGGAATATGTGATCTATCACCAGCAGGATGCTTAGGTTTTGCTGGAGCAGCTGCAACGGCAGGAGCTCTAGGAGGCCCAGTTGGTGGTCGAGAACCGCCCATTGGAGGACCTTGAGGAGGACCTTGGTTTTGAAACTGTGCAGGTGGAGGCTGGCTTTCATATGGTGATTGAGATGGCGCGTGCTGGCTAGGTGGTGCAGCTGACGGTGGTGCATATGGATTAGATGGAGGTGGAGCGATATTTGATGGAGGTGGTTGGGAGTATTGCTGTGCTGCTGGAGATGGAGCGTATCTGCTTGTAGGTGCAGCCCCGGTAGGTGGGGGATTATATGGAGAAGCTCCACGAGGAATTGTAGGTGGTGGTATTGATGCATATGGTGATTGAGCAGGGGGTGCTTGAGGAGTATATGCATTGGCCGTGGATGATGGTCTGGGAGGTGGTGCAGTCGTCAATGGTGAGCTAATACGGGGTGGGGCTGATCCCTTAGGTGGAGGAGGTGGGGGGGTTGCCCTGGAAGCACCATATGGGTTTGCTGGAGGTGGCATTGAAGCACCTTGTTGATTTGGGAACGGATTTGCAACAGGGGTACTTCTTCTAGCAGTAGGAACCTTTGTTACGAAAGGTGTGTCATTCCAGTTAGTCATGTCTTTAGCTTTAGATGCAGGTGGAGCTGATGGAGTTGTGTTTCTCGGAGGGGGGGCTCCAAATGATTGTTGAGGTGCTCCATAGCCTGATGGAGCTGCTCCATATGCTCCATACGAAGGTGCATAAGCAGGTTGAGATGGTTGTGGTGGCTGGTAACCTTGTGGCGCGTAAGCGCTTGCTGCAGGTGCATATGGATTAGAGGCACCTGAAGTGGGTGGCGCATAAGGATTAGAAGCTGGAGCAGTAGCGGCAGGTGGAGCGTATGGATTTGGAGCAGATTGAACTGGGGGTGCCACAGCAGCAGGAATTGGCTGTTGATATGCGGCTGGCTGAGCACGTGCTGGGACTCTCGAAGAGACTGCTGGCTGTCTTGCGGTAGTGGTAGGGGCAACCTTTCTTGATGCACGCTTGACTCGGTCTCGTGCAACTTCTGCAGCAGGGTACTGAGTTGGAAGAAGATCAAGGTATCTTTCGGCAATTGAGAGATGTCCGTGAGCAGCAACAATGTCCGCATACTCTGTATATTTGTCGTACAAAGCTGCCAATTTCCAATCCGATGTCAAGCTTTGCTCGGGATCTTGAAATTTGGTGACATTGCGGAATACTGTGACCTTTTCAATAAAGTTCTGGAGCGACTTTGCATGTACGGAGAATGTAGAATCGCCTTCTTGTTCTTCAATACCATGCTTCTCGTTCTCTTGAAGTTCGGAAATCCAGATGTTGATGACCTTCTCCAACTTTGAACCAACTAAGAAACAGAATGAAGCATCCTTTGCAGTGCCAGATTCCAAAAGCCTATCACCAAGTGCCTCACAAAGGTCTGGGAATTGAGCTGGATCGGCATATGTGCATAAAGTTGCCATCGATTCTTTCCAGTTCTCCAGGTCAGCATTGTATACAACATCCCACAAGTTTTTGCCAATGACTGAGCTAAGGAGTCGTAGATAGTTGGGACCTTCTGCCTTTTTGGCTAGGTAGGCAGTTTGAACTTTATCTAACAACTCCTTTCCACCACAGTTGGCAATGATGAATGCATCAGCAATACGATCCTCCTTGAGACAGACAGTCATCGCTTTTTCGAACTGGCCAAGCATCAAAGCTTTGGTAATTTGTTTTTCCGAGGCCGAATCCGACTCAGCAAATAGATGGAAAGGATTATCCGTCTTGGCTCCCTTATTTGCTGCGATATCCGTCAAAAAGTCATCACCTTCAGCACCATCGAAAAGTGTAGATAATCTATTATTCTTTCCTGCTTCTCCATTGGCATCAGCTGGCGCGTCTTCCGACTTTTCAGCATCCTCCACGTCAAGTCCCGATACACCATTCGTAATCTCGTCTACATCAGAGAATCCAAGGTATTCGGTGACTTGTTTTCGAGGGTTGGCTGCGATCAATGTCTCAATAACTCTCCAGTCTGCCTTCTCTTCCTCAGTCTTGGCCTGATCAATATGAGTTTCACAAATGCTCTTAATATCACCGGCCTTAAGGGCATTTTCGAAAGACTCAGTAGCAGATCCTACGTCTGAATCAACTGTAAATTGAGAGATTTGGATCTTGGAGGATCTAGGCTTTCTTGCTGCAGTTGGTAACAAATTAAAGCTCACTAATTTGCCACCGAATCCGAAAGAAGCTCCAACCGGTCGCTCAAGCCACTTAGGAGCTTTGTTCAATGAAAATGAAGCCCCTTGAGGCTCAGTTTGGGCCTTGGTGAAAAAGTCCTCGCCATCAATTGGACCTGCAACGGGGGGTTGGGATGCGGTAGGGTTTGTATTTTGTAAGGTCTGGATAGCTATCTTTCCATCAAAGGACGCAGTGGCAGATAATGCGGGGTTGTGTGGATTGAATCTAGTCTGGAAGGTCCAATTGGTGACTTCAGGGAATTCTCCATATTGTTCCCCAGTTTGAGGGTTCCAGATTAAAGTTCTGTTATCTTTACCGCAAGATATTAGAAGATCGGCATCTTGTTGACACCAGGACAATGACAAAATCCCCTGGATATGTCCTTGTAAAGTACGCTCAGGCGCATTTGAGTTTCTGAGATCCCACAAAAGAATTACCGGTGTAGAATCGTCGGGTGTAGCAGTCAAAAGCTTTGTCGCATTATTTGGATCCCATGCAATTGCTCCTACTGCTTTTCGGTTGTTGCTCAATTGTAGAGAAGCCTTCTTTGTCTTCAAATCCCAGACGGTAACATATCCTCCACTTCCACCAGTTGCCAAAATATGGGGAACTTTCCTATTCCATGCAACACATTCCAGGTCATCCGATCGTGCGGCAGCTGTGCCTAATCTAAACGGATTGGAGATATCGTTTACGTCGTAGATGAACAGCTCGCCCTTGGAGCCAGCAGTAGCTAGGATTTGTGGCTTCAATGGGTTAAATTGAAGAGACTTGATAGCACCCGTATGTTTCGTCGTCCTAGACATGAAAGCTTCCTCAGCTCCTTGTATAAGTTTCTCTGCATCCCATAAATCCAACGATCCATTCTCGAGTGCGCCTGCGATTATGCCCCGCGGATGGTCTGCGTTTGCTGGTGCCCATGCAATGTCGTGAAATCTAATGGAAAAGTTAGTCTTTCTACAATCCCTAAGCTCGATACAAACAATTCATCGGCGTACCTGGAGTCTGTGCTAATGCTAGCAATAGGTTGTAGTTCTACACCTTGCTCGTCGTTATCCAAGCTTAAATCCCAAAGCTCCAGCTTCGTCTCATCAGAGAAATCCGCATCAACAGCCCCAGCCCTGGTACCCGTGACAACCAAAGGAGTCTCTGGACCTGGGGACCAGGCAAAGGCCGCAGTTCTGGGAATTTCCCTTAGACGGACCATTGTCTCGTCTCTATTTGTAGAATTAACAAGCCAGATTACACTGCGGAAAGTTTGCCGCGGTGTGCCTTTTCAGCCGATTTTGTTGCTACGCCGGTAGATACAAATTGAAAAGACTCGTAGATTTTAAATTGTATGAGACGTGTAAAGACAGCAAAAGTTGCGATCTGTTGAATCGTTTATAGGTAGGAGTAGCACTGTGAACACCTTTCCCCATAATCGGATGGTCATAGCGAGGGATTCCGCCCGTAGGATTGTGAATCTTAAAAAAACAGCTGACACGTGATCAAAGGCTCCTTCTTTCGCGATTTGTTAGATAGCATTTGGGCAGTTTAGAAGTGACAAATACACCAGAGATTCGTTTAAAATAAATTCAGTCTAATACTTCCCATTATCTACAAGATGACCGACCAAGCACGTTGGAAAGCTACTGTGTATGTTGGTGGTCTCTCCCACATGGTTACCACCGCAAATCTCGAAGCCGCATTTTTACCCTTTGGAGAAATAGCAGATGTCTCTATACCGTAAGTCCTCCGCGCTAGATTTCGATGTCCTCATGTTGAAAATCTTCTAGCAAAGCAGATGGGCCCAACTCAACAGAGCCACATCGAGGTTTTGGATATGTAGAGTTTGAGGATCCAGAAGATACCAAAGATGCCATTGACAATATGGATCAAGCTGAACTATTTGGAAAGGTGATTAAAGTCAATGCGGCTAAACCTCCAAAGAATGCGAATGAGGGATTGGGAAGCAAGACGGCTTTATGGGAGCAGGTAAGACTTCATGGAATCCTGCTGTGTGATGGTAGGGGGCGGCTTGGGTGGTCACTAACTTTGTGACATAGGAGGGCTGGCTAGCAGAGAATGCTGTGAGCGAGGAGGATAAACTGGCAACCGAACAAGCAAGAGCCGGAGTTCAGGATAGACCTGACGATCCTATGCAAGGTCTAGAGGGATTGGATGTAGCTGGGCCTAAGCCAGCTTAAAGAAGGGCTATGTTATGCTCGTAGGCTACAGGTCATGAAATGTGTTACTAAGGAGTTCTCGGAGTAAAGCAAAAGGAGTTCAGGTGGCAGGAAGATTACATATGCTCTTCGATGTATAGGTTGAAGTTGGACAATGAAAAGCATGAGATATCAGGTATGGAGACTATGTATTCATGAGAAATAAGGGCCAATTCTGTACAACTCATTCGAGGTTTGGCCGATGCATCCGTTCTAATTTCTCCATTCCATTCTTGACTCCAGCGTGTTCCACTCAGTATTGCTTTTGATGTATGAACTTTTCCCCGACAAACAGTCTGTTTCCAACCCTCCGAAACCTTGTAGATGAATAGTTTATTCCTTTCCTCTGTTTTGTCTAGAGAGACGCATTTGCTTGTCAACAACAAGTTTGCGGCCCAAAGAGTAGAAAGCAAATCCGACAGCGACACCGACGACGATTCCTTCATATTGATATCAGTGTAAATTCTGGCCGTATTCTGGCGAACATGTAAACGTACCCAAAGGAACCAACTCGGGAGGAATCTTCTTCCATTGGCGCAATCGTTGCGAGATAGTGTGGGCTGTCGACCTTAGTGTCAGTCCCGATTCTCATCTAGTAAAAACGCATCTCCCAATCCAAATTCTATTCTCCCCCTCCAGCTCTCCGATTATACAATCGTGGGGTAAACGTACCGCTATGCTCCTCCTTCTGTAAAGCCACAAAACATTAGCCCTCCCACCCTCAAAACTGCGAAATCGCAAATCAACAATGAACAAACTTACGGGCACAGGCGACCACATCTTCTTGGTCGGTTGGAACATTCTAGTAACGGCAGTAGGATGCATCTTGAACCGTTGTTCAATCTTCAAGTCTTTCTGATTAGATTTACACTCAACTTCCGTGGTCTGAGGTTTTGGAGGACCTGCATTTCCGCGCTAGCGAGCTCGGCCTTAGCCGACTTCATCCCGAGTGAGAAAGTGCAGGCCCATTCCAATCAACCTCACATCATTCGTCTCAATTGAACCACCACCACCACCACCATCTCCCCTCTAAATTCTGTGATTGCCAGAAAACAAACACGCAAATATGTCTGAAGATCGCGAGACCAAGCCCTTCAAGTTCGTTACTGGTATGTGCCATCCGGGGGCCCGCCCACTGTTTGTATATTTAAAAATGGTCTGATTGATTGCTAACTGAATTTCTAAACAGCTGGTATGCAATTTATCCGCCGCCGGGCTCTGCGAAATGACCGGAAGACTGATTGTAGGATATAGGATTCGACGCTCGATTCCCCAACCAGAACCAAACTAAACATTGCTGGCAAAACTATGTCGACTATCACAAGTGTATCCTAGCCAAGGGCGAGGATTTCGCACCATGCCGTCAAGTACGTTTCTGCGATCGATTGAGAGGGGAAAATATACTGATAGAGGGGAATAGTTCTTCTTGGCCTACAAGTCATTGTGCCCAAGTGCCTGGGTTGAGAGATGGGATGACCAACGTGGTTAGTAGTGACACTTGAAAGGGACCGGAAGGCAAGGTTTGGCTAACGTGGAATGTTGTAGACAACGGAACATTCCCCACTCGATTGGATCAGTAAGGTATATGAAGGTTCTAGAGGGTTGCATGGTGGGATAGAGCAGAAGACGTTCACAATGGATATGTATCATACAGAGTCATTATGCGAATTGATGAGAAACGAGTCGGCTTGAATAGACGTGCTTGATTCAAATTTGGTAGATGTGTTGATATCCATGAGTTATGCATTTTCAAAGTGCATTCAGGCTTTTTTCAAAGCTCTCAGTCGGTCATATCTCAACATCGCTCCAAGCAAGACTTGTGCACCATTCCCACAGTCTTCTGGACTACAATACTCGGCTGGATTATGACTGACGCCGTCTTTACAAGGCACAAAGATCCTACTTATGGTTAGTGATATTCTGGTATTAGTGAAAAGGAAGAGGATTACATTGAGGTTGGAGCATGTCTCGAAGTATAAACACTAGGTTGTGTTTAGCGTGGTCCTTATCATCAGATTCTCATTCTTACCTATCATGTCCAGCGCCTGATACCATTCTCCTATAACTTTCGGAGACGGCTTCTGTTTGATCTCCGATACCAGAAGCTGTTCCAGCCAAATCTCCAGCACTCTCTTCTACGCATCGAATACAATCTTTGTTGAAATGAGTAGCCGGAGAATCTGTATCCATTTTCCATTCCACCAAACAACCTTTACCTCTCTTTCCACTAGCCCCAAGAGTTGGCATCTGCTCTCCAGCAGCAATCAACTCAAAATCTCTTTTTAATTCTTTCTCAAAGTTCAGAAGCCTTTGATCCTCCGGAGACCTGATATCAAGTGAAAACTGTACGAATCCCGGAACAGTATTAGTAGAGCCAGGCTTGAGAGTGAGGATACCTAGCATAGGTAAGCAAAGTACCGCAGTTTATCTTGGGGGAAAGGCTTCATTACCTGTGGATGCTAGACAACCCATTTCAGCTGCCTTGTTGTGGCTATGATGAATAATTTTTGCAGCTGTAAGCATAGCATCTGAACGATTCTCGAAATCCGTTGTACCTATAAAGCATTCTCAATTCATCATCCGACCCACGTTCACATCTCTTCAATTACAGACACATCTCTATAACATAACGTACCAGTATGACAATCTCTTCCCCTCACTGTAATAGTATACCACCTATAAGCCTGCACGCCCGTCACAGCTCCAATCTTCGTTTTACTCCTCTCGAGAATTGGACCTTGTTCAATATGTAGTTCGAAATGTGCACCGATTGGATTATCCAGGTATGAAGTGGGAGTTGCACCGAAATATCCTATTCTTTCTAATTCTGATTTCATGGTTGCCGGCCCATTTACTTCGCACAAATCATGAGCCACCGAGAGGGGAATGTCGTGAGCCCACACGCCGGAGGATATCATGGATTTGGGGAAGCGCGCTCCTTCTTCTGTGGCGGCAGTTAGAGAGAAGGTTAGAGGGGGGTGTTGGGGTGATGCAGATGTGTACCGTTTGTCCACTGTATCCATCAAGTTAGTCTGTCATTGTATATAGCCACGGAATCATAGTACAACAAACATTAATAACTCCCGTAGGATATTCTGTTTCAATATCCAAATCATTCATTGTCTTCAACGCTTCAATACCTGCGTGAACACCCAAAATTCCATCGTATCTTCCTCCCGTCGGCTTTGACTCATTAGTCAATCATCATACAATGTTATCCTCATATATAGGCTAGCATTCTGGAAGTGCGTACCTGTGTATCCAAATGACTCCCCGCATAGGTAGCTGGTCCATCCTTTCTTCCGGGTCGGATTGCAAAAATATTACCTTTGTTGATCAATCATTATCACATGCGCTTTCGAGGATTTTATGTGATGATGCTACACGTGAGAGGAGTAAAAAGGAGGAGGGTAGGTACAGGAAGATGGAAAATAGAATAGAGAAGGAGATCGGAAGCTCACCCATAGTGTCAATCTTCACATCACAGCCGATATTTTTAGTTGTTTCGACGAACCAATCCCGTGCTTGTTTGTCGGCGGAGGAGAGCGCAAGTCGGGACATTCCTCGATCAGTTTCCCCTCTGGATTGCTGTCAGAATTCTGTGCATATCATGCAACATACTGTAGATTGAAAAAATTGAAAGATACTACATGCAAATGATCACAGAGACTGATCCTGTAGTAGAACCATGTCATTTGCGGCTTGCCCCATATGATAATCGCTTGACCTTTATATAACTGCACTACACAGATTGGAGCCCATAATAAGAATGGCATGGAGGCAGGCTGCACTGAGCAACATCTAAACATATCCAACGTGCAAATTGCATCCGCTCCAGACCCGAAGACTTTCAGGAACTTTCCAATGTCATTTCTCTGTCACAAATTTCATCCTTGCTTCTGCGTCGTCTCCCTTTCCCTTCCCTTATATCGAAGTCCAAAGCTCAAACTCAATGAAAAATGGCCAAACATACGTTCCCCATTTCTCCCCCCTCCCCCATTGACACGTATAATGCAATTCTTTCCACAATCTCTCCCTATCAACCTTCCGCGCGATCTCCCTAATTCTTCCATCTGATAAATCCCCTGTTCTCAACGAGCCCTCGGAATAGTTCCTAATCCAACCGAAGTTTCCAATCCTCGGGGTTGTTCTCAAGGGGATGGTTTTGAAAAGAGTTCTTGAATTTAATCTTGACATTTTCAGGAAATACAGGAACTCAAGTAAAATGCATTGGTTTATAAATGGAAATCAAGATTGTATTTATTAATTTATGATATATTGTTATTTTATTGTTGGTAATGCTTATCTGAGGGGAAGCTGTCCTTGAGCAGGTAGTTATCAGTGACCCCGCTACCAAGCATCTGCTACTGCATATGTAGGTACTCGTATGCATTATCAGGGCCATACTTAGGTACAGGACAGGTAGATAGCACAACATTTATATCAACCTACTCAAAATGTTATTTTTTGCTACTCATTGGAAGAAGGATAAGAGATATCTGTATTCCACGAACAAGCCATGATTTCATTATCATTCGATTTGTCATGCGCATCATTATCTAAGCGGATCATGACTGTGTTCCATTCACATTCGATCTATTTCCTTGTACTTCAGAAGAGTAGTTGGTCCTAGTAGAGTCAAATCTCGGTGAATGTTTAAGAGGGGGATGAACAAGGGTGAAGAGCGAAGTAGAGGAGTGTACGAAGGAGAGGAAGTAGCTTGTACATATTCACAAGTAGTCTCAGTATCAGTAGGTTAAAGATTAGTTATGGTTCATTTGTAGTGATCACTATTTAAGCAGTCCGTGACTATCCCGCTCGAAATCATAGTCCCAAACGCCGCGCTGTAATATCAATGCATATGAAAGTTTGGATCATTTAGCTTTCCCCTTGCCTTTTCCTTTTCCTTTTGCGGGAGATTTTGCAGATGCATTTGCAGGTGCCTTTGCTTGGGATTTGACGGGTATCCTTGATCGAGCTTTGTCTTTTGTTTGAGCTGGGGCAGGGGGTGGTGTTGGTTCTTTGTCAACTTCCTCAACTTCAACCTCCTGGTCCTCTTCTGCTTCTGCTTCCAGAACTTCCTCGGGTATCGCAGGTTTCTTGGCTTCGACTACATCGTCTTCATCTTCCTCTTCCTCTTCCTCGTCGTCATCACTCATAAACTCGTCATCCTCGTCAAAGCCAAAGAAATTCATAGCCTTCGGCTTACCGGGTGTAGAGTCAGATGGTGGAGTTGTATCGTTCGAGTCTGTACCACCCATAACCTCATCTTCTTCACTTGTGGAGCCATCGGTTCCTGAGCCACTACCTGAAGATGTTGCCAACAAATTATCCTTATAGTTCCCAGCTTTCATAGCCGCAAGAACAGCCTCACGCGTTCTCTCTCCGGCTTCCTCCTTATCCTCAACCCATTTACCATCCACCTTTCCTTTAGTGCCATTCTTAATTTCCTGTTCTCTTCGCTCTGTCAATTCCACAACTTGTTCCCATCGTTTCCTTCTCTCTTCCTTATCTTTCTTTGCCATTTCTGGTTTGATGGCTAGATATTCAGCTAATGCCTTTGCTTCATTGACTGTTCTTAATCTGCGACCATCCAAATTTCGACTTGATCCATTTTGGTCACCTTGTCCCTTCTTACGTTTCGAGGACATGCGACCTCCAGCTGCACGAAGTTGAGATCCAAAACCTCCTTTGCCACCACATAATCGCGCTGAAAGTCGTAAAGATAGAAATTCATCATCCGGATTTGATAGTAAATCCGATATTGGAGAAGTCGATTCGGCAGAAAGTAATTTATTCGAGATAGTTGTGAGAATAAGGCGACGATCTTGAGATGGAATGCGCTCATAAAGTTTGTCTTGAAGCTCTGATACAGTGGTGGTTGTAGGCAGAGGTAGGGATAGAGTCGAAGGTAGATTCAAGCCCGGAAATGAAGTCAACAAAACGTTGACGGTTTGAAGTTGTGATACCATATTGTCAGCTTTTTTGTTATCGGGATTGTTTTAATGAAATTCAAACTATCATCGCGCTTTGCGATGTTGTTGGTGGTTTTCGACAAGTTTGATATCAACCTTGGAACATCCAAATGGTGGAAGTTCCTGTGCCGTAGAACACCCGAGTGGCTGAGTGGCTTTGCTAGCTGTCACGTGCATCAATCTTGGATTCTGCAAAGCTATCAGCCACATCTTCGCTTGCTAGCGCTTGAACCACACAATTCAGAATATTCGAATTTTGAATTACTTCGATTTTTCTTACACCTCTCGACATCGACAAACTTTCAAGCAACTCGACAAACCGCCAAGATGTAAGATATTAACAATTGTCTTGATGGTATTATCTCAAAATGCAAAAAGACTAATAAATTAATTTACAGGCTTATCCCAAAGGCCGACCGCAAGTTGATTCACGAGTACTTGTTCCGTGAGGGCGTACTTGTCGCAAAGAAGGAGTACGAAAACAAGCACCCAGATATCGACACCCGTAACCTTTACGTTGTCAAGGCTTGTCAATCTTTGACCTCCCGTGGATATGTCAAGACTCAATTCTCTTGGCAATACTACTACTACACCCTCACCCCAGAGGGTCTCGACTACCTCCGCGAATGGCTCCATCTCCCCGCTGAGATTGTCCCAGCTACCCACATCAAGGTCCAAAGATCCCACGCTCCTCCTCGTGGAATGATGGGAGGTGACGAGCGTGAGCGCAAGCCATTCGGTGGCCGTGGTGGACGTGGTGGTGGAGAGCGTGGTGACCGTAGCGATTACCGCAGACGTGAGGGTGGTGAGAGCAAGGAAGGTGCCGCACCAGGAGAGTTCAACCCTACATTGTAAGTTTCACGCATCTATCATATTTGGTTGACCAATCCTAATACTTTCTTTCACAGCCGTGGTGGTGCTGGACGTGGACGTGGAGCTGCCCCTCCTTCGTAGATTTATTCTACAATTTCTTTACGCTTGCTCAATGCATCCGACAGGAATTCCTCATAAACACTTGTATGGTTGGACGACTGGACAGTAGCGCGTTAGGTCGAGTGAAAGTAATCGCCGGGGGAGCATAGGTCGAAGGTGGAAGTTGACACTTCAAAACTGTCAGGTAGCATAATGAGCTTCTTCCAATACCCCTTCAATTTATTATGACGTGAAAACACGATACTCCCTCACATATCCTGCGACTCATTCTCTGCTTTTCTTTTCATGACTGTTTGAATCTGTTGACGTCTCGTATGAAATTTATAATTTGGTGAAGTTAACATTGTGTGTAACTATGAACTGCTTTTGACGTTAATGTACACGTTAAATTTTTACCTAATGATCCCGAACGAAACGCAGCGGCCCGGACACATTCTATGCCACATATCACTCGGGTCTTTCGGCCATGAAAGATCAAAGAAAGGTCAAGGGAGATCAAAGATTCAAGATTCAAGATTTCAAATTGAAGCCTCAAAACTCATCAATATGTGGTCAGATCAGGTCATGCTCGTTCATGTAATTATTCCAAAAAGTGTTTCGTTGTTCATACAGATGGAAGGTCGGCCTATGAAGTACTAGAAACCGAAAAAAGCAACCCCACCAATATCCCCGCGACCTTTTCCGATTTTGGACCCACCCAGAGCAATAATCATGTAGTCAATATCGTCATCGTACTTCTGCTCGGTCTTACTCTCTATTTTGATGTCCATTTCTGACCATGATATATTCGGAATCTGGATGTTGATATCGATCTTCTGGTGTTCCGTCGATGAGTGAAAGAGTTTTGTAGTGGAGATGGCCTAGAATGTCAAACAGTCCAAATCCATAAAAATATCGACGATGTATGTACAAATGTTGGTGACTCGTGAGAAACGTGGGGTTGTACGATTATTTTTTGATCCTCACATCCTATTGCCTTTCGTGGCGTTTAGATGGCTTGGGAAAGCTTGAGGAATGGATGTCCGATTGGTGCTTGATGCCTTGGTAACGCGCTTTTCCTTGTCGGATTTTGCAGAGGAGGTGTGGGTGAGTAGAATCTGGAGGAAGTATATTGAAGGTTGTTCTGTTAACGTTGTGCGGTGTAAATGTTTATGTTTGATGCTTCTCGATCATTCTCTGAACCCTTAGGCACCGACGAGAATTAAACGTATTTTGTATTCTGCTGGATGCCTTTCGATGATTGATATTAGACCTCATCGTATAGCTATCCATACCTCATAAATCAGCAATAAGAACAAGTCAGTCGTAACGCCGTCTAGTACGAACTCATCATGTCGTAGCTACCTAGCATTGTTAGGTACATATGGCTTGCACAGTGCACTTCAACTCGCACCAACTCATACCTTACAGTTTCTTATGGAGCCAATTGCAAGGAACCGTTCCCACGAACCGCTCAGTTAGTCATTCCATGATCCAAGTAAGATTGATGGAAACATTTCCAGATGATTCAATGGCGGGGCATCCAACAACAACAGGATCATAATCATTTCATGCTAGGTACCCCACCCCACCATGACAAGGAGTTGGCTGTCCCTCCCTCTTTCCATATCTTGCGTAGCTTCATTACTATAAGAAAGCCAATCTTCTTCTCTCTCGTCTTGCTCTTCTTCTTCATACCATCTGAAAAAATAATACCCTCAATAACGTACCTTCAAAAGATATCCTACTTTAACTCTTTAATTGTTTAACTTTCTTCAAAAGAATCAAAAGATCATACCAGCCAATATGTCTCTCCCAACTTCCATGAAAGCTTTGAGGTATGTATACTGTTCTTGTTTTGGTGAGGGGTTTTGGGGTGGCATCGTGTTGGAAGTAGCAGTGTATCCAGCAGATGTTTGACGGGGTCAAATTGTTTGTACAGTTGATATCGATTGAATGATTCAAACCATTCAATGATTGAAGCCGTATGACAGATTGAAATCTTTCGAGAAATCGAGAGCGTTTGATACACTAGAACCAAACACGTTTCTATCCTTTCACCACTTGAGAAGGCACATAAATTAATAAAGCTAACTCGAACGATAATAGATACTCCAAGCCAGAAGAATACGGAATCGTTGAGGTTCCTCTCCCAAAGCTCCGTGATAACGATGTCTTGGTAAAGGTCAAGGCCTGTGGTGTTTGCGGAACCGATTTGCACATCCACGAGGGAGAATTCATTGCAAAGGTAAGAGAGAGAGACTTCCCTTTTATATATGTGAATTAGAAAGGGGTGATGTGATATCTTCCCCACCATGACGTTTTATCTATTAAGACGAGTATGCGGGTTGAGAATATACACCTGGATGGGTACCTACACCTAGGTACCTTGAGAGGTTTACGTGCTTTAAGCTAAACATATTGGGATGAGTTTATATATTTTATAAGAACCAAAAGCTAACGTGGCGTTATTTATAGTTCCCTCTTATTCCTGGTATGCTATACCTTCCTTCCTTTCTTCGTCGATTCCTTGCTTTGAATATTCGATTCTCTTTGGCTGGTGAAGACCGTTGCATATCTTGGCGAGTTCAATGACAGATAACATTGTTGGTTGGAGATGGGAACACAAACTTTCCCTCCAGTCATCCTCTAGTGGAGGATTGGTCATCTGCAGACTAATTTCTCAGTCAGGATACAACCAATATGGACATATTGAAAGAATTTCCACTTTCGTTCCTACTTCATAATGTTACATTCCATCAAGGCTTTGATCAAGCATCTAACATTGGGATCTAATAGGACATGAAACTGTCGGTGTTATTGCTGCCACTGGACCTAAGGTCAAGGGCTTCAATGTTGGTGACAGAGTTGTAGCTGAGTGAGTACTCTTCAATCATACATGCGTGTTCAATATACTAACCTATCTCCAGTAACTCCGAACTCTGCGAGGAGTGCTTCTACTGCCGTCGTGGTCAACTCTTGTTGTGCGAGAACTTCAACGCTCACGGTGTTACTATGGGTAAGCTAAACACAAATTACAACCAGATATCAAAGCTAATTCAATTTAGATGGTGGTTTCGCAGAGTACTGTGCTTACCCAGCCGCTAAGGTTTTCAAGATTGAGAACCTCTCAGATGTTGATGCTACCCTCCTCGAGCCAGCCTCATGCGCTGCTCACGGTCTTGAGAAGATTGCACCAAAGATGGGTTCATCCGTTCTCATGTTCGGTGCTGGACCAACTGGTCTCGTTCTCGCTCAATTGCTCAGACAAAATGGTGGATGCAAGGTCGTCCTCGCCGCTCCAGGTGGTCTTAAGATGGATCTCGCAAAGAAGCTTGATGCCGCTGATATCTACATCGAACTTTCCCGTGATAACCCAGAAGCTCAATTCCAACAAATCAAGGATGAGTACAAATATGGTTTCGACATTGTTGTTGAAGCTACCGGAAGCGCTAAGATTCTCGAGGATGCTATCAACTACGTTCGCCGTGGAGGTAAGCTCGTAGTCTATGGTGTCTACAGCAGCTCTGCTAGAGTTACCTGGCCACCATCCAAGATCTTTGGTGATGAGATCACCATTCTTGGTTCCTTCTCCGAGACTTACATGTTCCGTAAGTATTCCTTCATCTTATGTACACTTATTCTGTTGCTAATAATACATAGCTGCTGCCATCGATTACCTCGACTCAGGCAAGGTCAAGGTTGAGGGTATTGTTAACAAGACCTTCAAGCTTGAACAATGGGGTGAAGCTTTGGAGTCCATCAAGAACAAGAGTGCTATTAAGGCAGCTATTGTTTTCGATTAGATTATGTTGGTGTAAAAATGGGAGTCAAAAAAATGACATGATGTGATGTTTTGCTCAGTATTGAGAGATATTATACCTTTAAAGCGAGCTATTAGAGCTAGATTTACGATTCAATGAAAAATAATTTACTGTATGGATACTTTTTATGGCTAGTGTGAATTTGTTATGTCTTGAAGCTATCTATTTCGGTTGATTATTGTATCATGGAGGGTTTGCACGCGGGCACCTCAATGAAATGATTGTCCAGGTTCAACGATTAATTCATTTGTTGATTCTATC